TAGGTAAAACTAGCCTTAAATAACCTTTAGATTCTTATAAAGTGCTTTTTTATAATTATACTTATAATTAAACTTTATTATAAACTTAGGGTAGTGCTTAACTTATATACTAGTCTAGTTTAAGCTAACCTAGCCTAGATTACACTCTACGCGCAAGAAATTAGCTATATTAGCTATAGCTACAAGGTTAAGAAAAAATCTATGTGTAATAAGCTTAAGTATATACTTAATAACTACTTTTTTTTAAGCTTAGTTAGATTCCTTAATTTAGGCTAGCATTCTGTTTATAAAGGCTGTCTAGCGCGTTAATTACTTAGTGTTATGTAAAAGACATTATAAATAGCTATAGTGTGTTATAAAAAAAGTTTTAAGTCTTATTTAAAACTTTAAAAAGTAAGCTATATCTAACATTCTTTAGAAGATTTAATCTAGTGTTGTTGTTAAGGCATTATGTAGATAGGTAGAGTGTGGTGGGGGCTTAGCAAAAGTAGCTAGCTAACCTGTGTGGCCGGCTAACCTGTTAGGTACGTTAAGCTAAATACCTATTAACTATACTTACGCTTAAAACTTTACTTTAAGCTTTAAATAATACTTTATAAACATACTAAGCTAGTTTATGCTAACATAGCCTAGATTACACTTAGCGCGCAAAGAATTAGCTATATTAGCTATAAATGCTATCTAAAGAGAAATTCCTTATGCATATAGCTTAAGTATAGTCTTAATAATCACCTACTTCTTTTTATTGCCTAGCCTTTATAATTTAGCTGTAGAATTAGCTTGTAAAGGTTGTCTAGCGCTATAGTTATTTATTATTTTTTATAAGACTTTACATATAGCTGCAGCATGTTTCTTTAAGAGTTTTATGTCTTATTTAAAAGCTTAGAGTGTAAGCTATATTTAACATTCTTTTAGCGCGTCTAAGTAGTGTTGTGGGGAATGCATTAGTGTAAGAAGAGTAGTTTAGTAGGGTCTTAGTAAAAGTAAGTAACTTAGGTGTGTAAGCAACTTGCCCGTGAAGTACGTTATATTGTTAGGCGTTATATAACATAGTCTTGTGTTACAGTTGCACGCATAAACAGAGAAATATTCCTTTCCTTTGCACAGACTTAGAACAAGAACAATCAGCACTAGTTACCTGCAACCCTCCCTGCGCGATTTGTACACCATGCAAACCTCTTTGCTTTGCATAGCTAGCATAGAGCCTATTCAACACATAGTATTATATAGCATTCTTTACTATAGCATTAATTATATAAAGGTCTTTTGCTTAACTTTTTTAAGTAAAAGTAACTTTATTTTATATAAGCTAAATCTTTTTTTTCTTAAATTTAATAAGCTAGTTTTTAAATAGTATAGTCTTACTTTTTATATAAAGATTTACTTTCTATAGTTTTTTTTTTCTTTCTATGTAAAGTTTTTTATATAATGCTTAAAGTATTATCTATTTATAAGCTAATTATATTAAAAGTATACTCTATTTTATTTATAATTAAAAAGTAGAGGTTATATAAAATATGTGCATATCTAGCTTTTTTTTTATAGTAGTTATAGTATGTTTTAAACTAATATAAACCTAATTTAGCAGCTTTATATAAAAGTTGTATAACCTAGAAGATTCTATTTAGTAGAAAGTTCTAGTGTATCTATGAAGCTATGTGAGGCACTAGAGGCATGAGGAACTGCATTGAATGTATTGCTAGAGGAGTCCTTTGTAGGAGTCTATATATATGCGAAATAAGTGGGTGACTCTTGGCAACAGACTGTGCTAAGATGCATACAACTATAGTGCCGACGCATCCGACCATCGTGTGACGACACATCCGACTATCGTGCGACTATGGTGACGACACATCCGAGTGTCACCACTGCCAACAGTATCTCTTTTAGTAGCTTTATGTATAGTGTGCGTAGAAGCTTATCTATTAATTAAATGTATACTTATATAATAGTATGTAGTTTAAAATGCATTTTATATATAGCTCTTAGGCTTACTTTTATAGCTAAAAGTAGTCTCTAGCGTATTCTCTAAATAGTTAGTAATTAAGTAAGATTTTTTTTTTTTATCTAAGTAGCTAGTAAACACTAGGTAGGATTTTTTATATAGTTAAGTTATTTTACTTTTTACTTTTTATATAAAGTAAAGGTTAAAAATCTAACTTTTATACTTTATTAAGTTATATACTATAACTATAAAAGTGCTGTTAGTAATTAAAGCGTTTATTTTTATATAGTCTAATTTTTTAAATAGTTTTTTAAGTGTAGTAATTACACTATCTATATAAAGCTTAATAAATAAGGCTTAATAATTTTTTTTCTAAGTTAAGAATACTTAATCTAGACTTTATACAGGTTTCTTTACCTTTTACTTCTCCTAGTATCTACATCTTCTCTTTGCACTAGTGCAGCATTACTGCTTTAAAGAGCTTAGTTTATAATTAGCTCTAGTTCTACTTTTATAGTATTTTTATAAAGTTATTTTTTTTCTCTTTTATAAAGAATTTCTTTATATACATAGCTATAGTATATTACTTTAAGTGTCTGTACGTAAGTACAGCTGCGTCTGTACACGCGTACAGCTAAATTAGGTTGCCTAAAATGTTAGCTATCTAGCCTATGCGTTAGAGGCTATGTGTACTTAAAAGCCTACTTTCTTTATATATAAAAAAAGCAGTAGTTAATAATAAAAAGATCTTTACCTACTTACTTTTTAGTACACCTTTTAAGTGTATGTTTATTTAATTAAACCTAAGTTAACTAACACTAATTAGTCTATTAATAAACTATTTACTGTGTGCGTAGCTACGCAGAGGATATTGTCTTTAACAGATAAATTTATAAGAATTAATAAAACTGCTACTATATAAATAGTTTACTTCTACTATGTGCGTAGCTACGCAAAGAGGGCTTAGACAAGCATTATGCACACCCCTAGATTAACTAATTGCACAAAGACAATATTAGCAACCTGCTGTGTGTGTAGCTATATAAAGAGGGCTTACTACTAAGCCTTTATGCGCCCTAAAGCCTCCTGTTAATACAGGCTGTGCAACTACTTGCCTACTGCGTGCGTAGCCACGCAGAGAAGATAATACTAGCCGCATAATTAAAAACCTACTGCGTGTGTAGCTATGCAGAGAAGGCTTTTTATTAGTAGCCTACCTTATTAACACCCCCCCTTTAATTAATTGCCTGCATAAAAAGTAATAACTAACTAACACTTTCCCCCCTCTAGGGATTAATTGCTTACATAGAAAGCAACTAACTAACACCTCTCTCCCTCCCCCACCTCTCTAGAGATTAATTGCTTGCATAAAAGGCAACTAACTAACACCTCCCTCCCCCTTCTCTACCCCCCTAGGGATTAATTGCCTGCACAGAAGGCAATTAACCTATACCCCCCCCCTAAGCTATAGCGTCTTTGTACACCTTATATAAAAAGTTATTAGGGGCTACACATGTGTCTAAAATAATTCTATATAAAGAGGTAGATTTAGATCTTCTATATAATAGAATAAATATAGACTCTCTTCTACTAAAATAATAAGCTTTATATATAGTGTACATCCTCTTTAACATGTGTAAGCTGCTAAAAGGAAAGTACACACTATAAAAGTAGAATAACTTTAAAAGATAAACAACACATAATTTTAATAACCTTTTTTATATAGTTAGGCAAGAACTTTTTCTTACTCTAGCTAAGTATAAGCACTATTCTAAAAGTAGGTTAAATTATACACAAGCTAAAAAGCTAAGAGATATTATAAATAAAAAAAGCACTAAGAGTTAGCTCTAAAAAAAAAAAGTATAATTAACATATAAATAAGTAAGTATAGCTGCGTCTGTACACACGTACAGCTAAATTAAGTTGCCTAAAATATTAGCTATCTAGCCTGTGTGTTAGAGGCTATGTGTACTTAAGAGCCTACTTTCTTTGTATAAAGAGAGAGGGTAGTAGTTAATAACAAGAAGATATTTGCCTACTTACCTCTTAGTACGCCCCTTAGGCGTACGTTTGTTTAATCGAACCTCGGTTAACTAACATTAAGTGTATTATATCTTATTTAAAAGCTTAATGTGTAAGCTATATCTAGTGTTTTTTTTAGCACGTCTAAGTAGTGTTGTTAGAAATGCATTAGTGTAAAAAGAGTAGTTTAGTAGAGTCTTAGTAAAAGTAAGTAACTTAGGTGTGAAAGCAACTTGCCTATAGAGTACGTTATAATTATATCTTACTTTTCTTATCTTTTAAAAAAAGAATTTAATAAAACACTACTTTAGTCTACACTTTCTATTAGAGATTAGTTAGCTTAGAATGCTTCTAGTTACATTACCTAATGTGTTAACTTTAACCTTTATAAACTAGGCTAAGTTATAGTAGGTAAGAATAAAGAAAAAAAGAAAAAAGCTTTTAAGTGCTTAAAAAATTTTTATGTTTAATTTCCTAGTTTTTCTTTATTCTTTAGTAAAAGTATATTGTAGAAGAAATAAATTACTGCTAAGTCTTACACATTAGAATTTATACTTATATATAAAACATAGGTTATGTAACCTCTAAACAGGTTAGGTGAGGCTATACAAGCCTGTTCTAGAACATCTAGCCTTATAACTAGAAGCTTTATAGAGGGAGTTATAGGCACGTTCTAGTTAACGTTTACAGATATTGTATAGTATTAAGAGGTATATCCTTAAGAAGACCTAGAGGTTTAAGAAATGCTATATATGCACTTAAACATGTGACCTGTTGCTAGCAAGAGGTCTGTAGGGAGAGCGTGACGCATGTCCTAGTTTACTGTGGCATCTACCCTATTTATACAAGCTAAGAGTGTGTGCAACTAAGAATACAGCTTTTCTCTAGTTTGTGCTTCTTTAATTTACTCTTTATAAGCTCACGCACCTGCGGTCCTAAATAGGAAAATGCATATCAACCTTCACATCTACCTCTTTGATCATATCAATCCTCTAGACCCCGCATGTGCAAACACTAGAAATTAAATTCTTTGTTAATGTACAATGTTGCAAATAGCTTGAGAGCCCCTATCTTTCAGAACGTGACTGAAGAAATCGCAAAGCCTTGTAAATGTCTCATCGGTGATCTGATAGTGAAAGACAAGGCGCCCAAGAATCGGTTCGCCCACTTTCAGATGGAACTTGGTAGCTACGGGATAAAACTCCTCAGGTGTCAAGCCAGAAGCTTCCAGGTCGAGCCAAATCATATTTGTCTCGGTGGGTATCAGAAGTTTCCCACCTAGCCGCTGCCAAAGTGCCGAGGCGCGTTTCGCCTTGTCTTGCGCTGCGTTCAACTTCCCGCCGAAGAAAACATCGTCGATGGCTACCCTGGCCGGTGCGGCAATCACACCAGAAGCGCGGGTGCTGCCACCGAGAAGCTTACGACCCCATTTTGCGCGTTTGATGAAGACGGGGTTCCCGGTTATGATACTCCCAATGGGTGCACCAAGACCTTTTGTGAAACACAGCTGGATGCTGTCAAAGCATTCGCCAATCTCGCGGAGGGTACAAGCCCCAGCGGCAACAGCTTCCCAAAGGCGAGCTCCGTCCAGATGCATATGAATTGGGGGTTCCTGGGCATGTGCCCATTGGGAGATGGCGCGAATGTCAGAGAGGGGCATAACAGTACCCCAAAGTGTGTTCTCCAAGCAGATAACCCGGGTTGGGCAGTCGTAGATGGTTTCTGTAATAGTGCTGTGTTTCTTGATATCGTCTAGGGTGAGGTGATGGCCGTTAGACGGAACGACCATTTTGATCAAGGCGCCACAAAGGCTCGACGCTCCACCAGCTTCAAGGATGATAATGTGGCCTCGATGGTCGGCGAGGATTGAGTGGGGCGGGGTCCCGAGAGCGGATCGGAGGGCGACCTGATTACCCATAGTGCCCGAGACCACAAGGAGAGCGGCTTCGTGGCCTACCAAACCAGCAACATAGCCCTGGAAGGAATTCGTCGTCGTGTCTTCATCCATGTCACCATCTCCAAGGGATGTAGTGACGATGGCTTCGAGCATGGGCAATGTAGGCTTGGTAAAAAAATCGGATCGGAAGTCGTTTGACGCCTCATTGCTGTGTGACCACGCCAGACCGGTAAGGCTTTGTACTTGTTGCTGAGCATCGGCGATCCTAAATTCATCTCGGCTGGTTTCAGTATCGAAGCCGATGGAAGTCGAGTTATCCTTCAAGTGCCGAGGCCTCTCAGAGGTGACCGTCCGCATATCCATTTTAAATATAGCTGGGCTCTGGAAACGGTTACTTTTGTCGGTTGGGAGGTGTATGCTGGCTTTTACTGGAAACATCTCGAGATAAGAGACGTAGGCCATATATACTCTGCAAGACTAGAGGAGTAGTGAACAGCCACCTGGGTAAGTAGTGCTAAACCTTTTTAGTACACTAGTGCTAAATCGGACCTCCGATAGCTTATGCTGATCAGCCCGAGCACATGGAGGCCCGGACCGTTGGCCACCAGTCCGGTCGGACGCAAGAAACCCTCAACTAGCTATCTCCAGCCATCGGAGCTGCGCAACAAGTCAGACAGTCGTGTCTTAAAGGGGAAAGTTGAGGATGTGGAGGCAGGGCAAGCAATAGTGAGTGAAGATTAAGGATAGTAAGGGGCGCACTGCTCGATAACAAATTTTTTAAACAATTTCTACAGACTTTACAAAGCACAAATAACCGAGAACCTTTCCACTCATAGGCAAGATGAGCGCTAATTCGGCTGCAGACTACCAGACGATAATTGGGCAATTCAATGCCACCGACGACGCGACGACGCTGGGACATTGCCTGCATCACCTTCTTCAGCACGCAGCGGACAGCCACTTAGACAAGACTGCCTTGATTTGTGCCGACACGGAATTGACCTATGGAGGGCTCAATGCGCTCGCGAATCGGTTTGCCCGCGTCTTGGTGGAGCGAGGCATTGGGCGTGGCGACTTCGTCGGCATTGCTCTGGAGCGCTCGGTCGACCTCGTCGTAGTGCTGCTGGCCGTGTTGAAGACAGGTGCTGCGTATGTACCCATCGACCCGGCTTTTCCTGCAGATCGTATTAGCTACATGATAGACGATGCTAGACCGAAGCTCATCGTTGTTGGAGCCAGCACACAAGACGCGTTGTCATCCTGGGGAGGCGCGCGCCTAAGCATAGACGAGGCACGTGACAACATGGCGAACTCGGACGCTGAGAAAAGCAACCTTGAAGTGGATGTGCGGGCAGACGATCTCGCATACGTAATATACACGTCCGGCTCGACTGGTAAGCCCAAGGGTGTGGAGATCAGCCACGGGGCCTTGTCTAACCTGCTGTGCTCGATGCAGCGGGAGCCAGGATGCAGCGGGACGGACCGGCTGCTCGCTGTAACGACTATCTCTTTCGACATCGCGGCCTTGGAGCTGTTCTTGCCGCTGCTCTGTGGTGCAATAACGGTCGTAGCCCAGGCACACGAGGTCAAGGACCCAGGCGCTGTGCTCGGGCTGATTCAGCGGCACGGCATTACCATGATGCAGGGCACTCCCGCGACCTGGCAAATGCTGTTGGACGCGGGCTGGCAAGGAGAACCCCATCTCTCCAAGATCCTGTGCGGCGGCGATGCGCTGCCACGACTACTGGCTGAGCGGCTACTCCCCTGCGCAGGATCAGTGTGGAACATGTACGGTCCAACCGAAGCGACAGTGTGGGCGAGCGTCTGGCAGGTGCGCCAGGGTCAGGATATAGTCATTGGCAGGCCGATCGCCAACTACAGGCTGTATGTGCTCGGTGAGGACCTTTCGCCGGTGCCACTCGGGTGTGACGGCGAGCTCTATATTGGCGGCGCTGGATTGGCTAAGGGCTATCACAACAAGCCCGAGATGACTCGGTCGCGCTTTCTTGATAACCCCTTCCATGAGGGCCTCCTGTACTGCACGGGCGATCTAGCCCGTTTCCAGTATCCAGAGACGCTGAGCGTGCTAGGCCGCGCGGACGGGCAGGTCAAGGTCCGTGGCTACCGCATCGAGTTAGGCGATATTGAGGCCGCTATCACCAACCACAGCGACATATCAGAGGCGGTCGTGGTCAGCAGAGACGACAGGCTTGTCGCGTACTACATGCGGGATGCGAACGTGTCTACCCCCAGAGACGCCGGCGAGCCGACGCTCGACAACTCGCTGCGTCTATTCCTGTCGGAGAGACTGCCGGCGTATATGATGCCGGCCTTCTTTGTCGAGATGGAGGCCTTCCCCTTGACACTCAATAACAAGATCGACCGCAAGGCCCTCCCAGATCCGACGGAGTCGATCCACCCTGGCACGGCCAGGCCAGTGACCGAGATGGAGCGTAGTATCCGGCTCATCTGGTCGAGCGTACTGGGCCACGACCGCATCGGCACCCACGACAACTTCTTCCAGATCGGCGGCGACTCTGTACGCGTGGTCAAAGTGCAAAAGGAGCTGGAGAAGCTTCTTGGCTGGCCGCTGTCTGCAACGAAACTTTTTGAGCATTACACTATCAAGACACTGGCGGCATACCTAGAGGGGGCGGAGGAGATCAATACGGAGCCCGTTCTTCCACGCCATCGTGCGCAAGATAATGAAGACATAGCCGTCATCTCTATGGCGTGTCGGCTCCCCGGCGGCGTCACCACCCCAGAGGAGTACTGGGAAGTGCTCGAGCGCGGTGCCGATGTCATCACCGACGTGCCGAAGGACCGCTGGGATGCCGACGCCCTCTACGACGCCAACCCAGAGGCCGGCGGTAAGTCGTACTGCCGTCGGGGCGGGTTCCTCACCTCAGTCGATGACTTCGACGCGTCCTTCTTCGGTATATCTCCAAGAGAGGCGCGCGCTATGGACCCAGCGCAGCGCGTCATGCTGGAGACATGTTGGGAGGGATTTGAGCGCGCGGGCTACACCGTCGAGCAACTGCGCGGAAGCCAGACTGGCGCCTACATCGGCGTGTGCAGCACCTCGGCGCATTCGTCCCCACAGGCGCTCACAGATCTCGACGGGTACGCCGTGACGGGCGCCGCTGGGGGCACCATGTCTGGCCGTGTGTCATACGTGCTTGGCCTCGAGGGTCCGACTCTAACGGTCGACACCGCATGCTCCTCGTCTCTGGTGACGACGCACCTGGCCTGCAATGCGCTCCGCCAGGGTGAGTGCGACATGGCCCTGTCCGGGGGCATTACCCTCCTACTCAACCCAGCAATGCACATCGAGTTCAGCCGCCTCGGAGGTATGTCCGCCGATGGGCGATGCCGCGCGTTTGCGGCAGACTCGCAGGGCACAGGCTGGGCCGAGGGCTGCACGGCTATCGTGCTGAAGCGGCTGAGCGACGCCGTCCGTGATGGTGATGTGGTGCATGCGGTATTACGCGGGACAGCGGTTAACCACGTGGGAAGGAGCGCCGCCGGCCTGACGGTACCGAGCGGGCGAGCCCAGGAGCGGCTCATCCGCACCGCGCTAGCGGCGTCGAGGTTGACGCCAGGAGATATCGACTACATTGAAGCCCACGGCACGGGGACGACCTTGGGCGACCCGATTGAGGGTGCGGCGCTGGCTGGGGTGTTTGCTGGAAGTCGGCCAGTTGAGGTGGCGCCGCTGTGGATCGGCTCAGCCAAATCGAACGTCGGGCACACACAGGCAGCAGCCGGCCTCGCAGGCATGCTGAAAGTCATATTAGCGATGCGCAATAACAAACTTCCCCGGACTCTACATGCCGAAAATCCTACGCCGGCAGTGGACTGGCAGCGTGCTAAGATGGCGCCCGTGCATCAGTCCCAGCCCTGGGTGCCCAGAGTCGACCGGCCTCGACGGGCAGGCATCAGTGCATTCGGCATCGGTGGGACCAACGCGCATGCTATAGTGGAGGAGCCTCCGCTACCGAAGGTGAATTCTAGGCCGTTGTCAGTCCTTTTGCCGCCCAAGATTCCATTTCTTCTGTCAGGCCATACCGATGCAGCGCTATGCCAGCAGGCTGAAAAGCTTCGACAGTACATCAAGAGTACAAGCAAGGATGGCCAAGATCGTCTCAGTGAGGTGGCCGGCTCGCTAGCCACCACTCGCAGTCACTTCCAACGGCGACTAGTGTTAATGGCCAAAGACAAGGCCGAGCTTCTGGAGACACTGGACTCGGTCTCAAGGGTAGTGCCTATCAGAAATCACGGCAAGGAGCCATGCCTAGCCATGCTTTTCACTGGTCAGGGCAGTCAAGTCTTGGGCATGGGCAAGGACCTCTACGAAGTTTACCCCGCGTTCCGCGAAGCACTGGATGAGATCACGGCCAAGTTCACCCAGCTAGAGACGCCGCTAATGGAGGTTATGCACGCGACCCCTAGCAGTGACGCCGCCGCGCTGCTGAAGCGCACAGACTTCGCCCAGCCGGCTCTCTTCGCCTTGGAGGTAGCCTTGTGGTGTCTCTGGAAGAGCTGGGGTGTGCAGCCAGATCTGGCTCTCGGCCACAGTGTGGGTGAGCTCGCTGCCGCACACGTTAGTGGCATCTTGAATCTATCTGATGCCTGTCGTCTCGTCGCAGCACGTGGCCGGCTGATGCAGGCTGTTTCTCTCCATGGCAGCATGGTTTCGTTAGAAGCCAGCGCGGAAGAGGTGACAACGGCTATCGAGATACTTGGGCTCGTAAGCAAGGTCGACATCGCTGGCCACAACACGCCAATACAGACGGTGGCATCTGGTGACACTGATGCTATCGAGAGAATGGTGGCCTATTTCGCCCGGCAGGACCGCAAAGTGAAGTTGCTCGACGTGTCGCATGCATTCCATTCGCACCATATGGACGGCATGTTGGCAGAGTTCCAAGCAGTGGCTCAGACGGTGCAATTCCACCCACCACAGCTGCCCATCATCAGCAGCCTGACTGGCAAGTTGGCTGGAGCAGGCCAGCTCGAACGACCAGACTATTGGGTCCTCCAGGTACGCAGGGCAGTTCGCTTTGCCGATGGCATCCAGACACTGCATCAACAGGGCGTTGGCGTTTTCCTCGAGCTAGGCCCGCAGCCCGTGTTGTCCGCCATGGGTGCGGCGTGCCTCGCCGGCGACGATTCAATTGCCTGGATGCCGTCGCTCGTTCCTGGTAAGCACGGCGCGTCGGTGGTGCAGCGAAGCCTGGCAGATCTACATGTGCGGCATGTGCCCGTTAGCTGGACCGGTTACTTTGAACCTTTCGGTTGCTGCCAACGTGTGGAGCTGCCGACGTATGCCTTCCAGAGGGAGCACTTCCCACCCTTACGTGGGAGAGGCACTGAACTCCTCTATACCAATATCGTCAATGGCGCACCACAGCATCCAGTTCAAACAAACGAAGATCACGTGGACCCCCTGGAGCTTGAGATCGGCTGGCATCGGGTCGATACCGGCAATATCGCCGTGAGCGGCTCATGGGGCTTGCTGTGTCTCGCTGAGGACACAGGTCACGTGGCAACGACATGGACATTGGAGGTGAAGATGGCCTTGGCGCAGGCTGGCATTCAGCTGCGCCAGGTCAGGAATATCGAAGATGCCGAAGATCTGAATGGCCTACTATGCTTGTGGGACTCATTAGATGCAGATGATGTCCCAGGCCAGGCACGTGACTTTACCACAAGGGCCCTAGCGCAGTTGCAGAGGGCTGCCCAGGTGGAGTTTGCGCCGTCGCTTGTGTGGGTCACTCGACACGCAGTGGGTGCTGGCGACGACGACCGGGTCTCGGGTGTCGGTGCGGGACCCCTCTGGGGCCTTATGCGCACTGCCCGCAACGAGCACCCAGAGCTGCGCCTGCGGTTGATCGATCTGGCTAAGGAGAAGGCTGCGTCCAACGCCCTCGCCCCGGCGTTGATGCTAGACACCGAGCCAGAATGTGCCGTGCGCCAGGGGGTAGTGCTTGTGCCGCGGATGCAGCGCGTGGAATCGGAACTGAAGCCGGTGACGGAGCGACTCCTTCGACGGGACGGTGCGGTGCTTATCACAGGCGGTCTTCGCGGTCTCGGCCGACAAGTCGCCCTGTGGCTGGCAAGCGAACACGGCATCTGCGACCTGGTGCTGACCTCGCGCCGCGGCAAAGAAACCCCCGGTGCGGAGGAATTGGTGGTTGAACTTGGTAGGCTGGGCGCCAAAGCTACCATGGTCGCCTGTGATGTGGCCGACCTCAACAGGGTAAAGTCAGTCATGGCAATGTTCGACGCTAGACGGCCGCTGCGGGGTGTGGTCCATGCCGCCGGCGCACAGGACAATGGTGTCCTTACCGCCTTGACTCCTGAGCGATGCGCTACGGCCCTTGTGCCAAAGGTGGATGGCGCATGGCATCTGCACCAGCTAACACTGGATATGCGGGCGGACTTGGACCTCTTTGTCATGTTCTCCTCCACCTTCGGCGTCATGGGCATGCCGGGCCACGCGAACTACGCTGCCGCCAATACCTTCCTCGACGCGCTCGCGCACCTGCGTCGTTCGCAGCGCCTGCCAGGCACCTCGGTCGCATACGGTGCCTGGGAGGGGGACGGCATGGCTGCCAAAATCACTGGGACAACCCTTGCCCACCTCGACCAACTCGGCCTCGACCCGCTCACCCCGAAAGAGGGCCTAGCGCTGTTCGAGAAGGCGGTACGCAGCGGCCGTGCACTCACTGTGGCCGCCGCATTGGATCCAGAACGGCTTGGGAACTACCTTGAGGAGCGAGGCGACATACAGCCGTTGTTCCGCTCCCTGCTTGGCCAGGGTTGTGGGCGGGAACGGGTCGGGAGGCGGGAGCGGGAGAGGCCGGCCCTCCGAGGCTGGGACCTGCGCAAGGCATTGAGCGACTCCGCCCCCGAAAAACACCTCAGCATTGTGCTGGGCATGGTCCGAGAAACGGTGGCCAAGGCCTTGGGCTTTGCGCTTCCGGATGACGTAGATGTCAACCAGCCGCTACAAGGCATCGGAATCGACTCGTTGACCGCGGTCCTGATGCGCAACCAGCTGGTGAAACTGACCGGCCTCACTCTGACGGCCAGGTTCGCATTCCAACATCCTAACCTCCGGGCACTTAGCCAGTTCCTCCTCTCCGAGCTGCACAAAGACGAGCCGGATCATTCGTACGCCAGCATCATTCCTCCAACCACCCTGCCGGTATCGGAGACGCCGTGGCTCAATATCGCTGCCGTCACAAGGGGCTGCCTGGACCCCAGCATCACGTTCAACAACGCCGCACAGGCCATAGCGCCTCCCAAGTCCGTCTTCGTCACGGGTGCTACAGGCTTCGTCGGCGCCTTTATCGTGCAAGAACTACTTGAGCTAGGAATCGCCGCCCATTGCTTGGTGCGTGCCGACTCTGTCGATCAGGCTCTCCAGCGTTTGTTGGCCAAGCTCGCCGGCTACGGCCTCTGGAGGTCTAACTACGCTCAGCTGCTCCATCCGGTCGTTGGCGACTTGGCACAACCCCTTTTCGGCCTGTCCCAAGAAGCGTTTGACCATTTGGCGGACCGCGTCGATGCCATCTGCCACTCGGGCGCACTCGTGGACTGGATGCGCCCGCTGGTAGACTATATCGGCCCGAACATCGTAAGTGCTCAAGAGGTCCTGCGCCTGGCCTCGAAAGGCCGTGGCAAGGCCGTGCATCTTGTCTCCACCATGTCCACCCTACCCAAATACATGGGCTACGAGGTGACGGAGGAGGAACCCGAATATGGCTACGCTACTTCGAAATACATGGCGGAGCGGATGGTGGCAGCGGCACGATGGCGCGGCGCCAAGGCATCTGTGTACCGCTTGCCTTTCGTCACGGCCTCGTCCGCCACTGGCCACTTCCGGCTCGACCGTGGCGACTTCTTGCACAACCTCATCGCCGGGAGCCTTGAAATGGACGCCTTCCCGTCGTTAGACGCTGATCTCTCGGCCGTGCTACCCATCGACTACCTGTGCAAGACCATTGTTGCCGTGATGACGCGGGACCTGCATCGAGTTGGCCAGGACTATGACTTTGCGAATCCGCATGCACCGAGCTTCAACCACTTCTTCAAGCTGATGAGTGCCGCCAGTGCTGGTCAGGAGATCGTACCCTTTTCCACATGGCGGGAACGGGCATTAACCTATGCTGCCGCCAACCTGAAAAGTCCACTGGCTCGCATCGCCGCTGTGCTTGACGGTCTCACCGATGGCCAAAGTGCGGCCGCCATGGTTACAGGCTCATCTATCGGCGAACACGTTTTCGGCGGCGACGTCTATCCCGTGCCATTAATAGACGAGCACTCTGCGCGAAATTATGTGCGCCGTATCGACGCTGTGCGAGTGGAAAGATCCACTTCTGGCGAAGTTGGAATACCCGTTGTTGGATGCTTATAGATTTATTCACCTTTGGGTGGGTGAATAGTCGAATACACTCACTATTTACTTTTTAGATTAATAGATACGAGTATAGAAAAGAGGCTACACTCGTTTAGATATCGAAGTAACAGCCTTCATTTGACTTCCATGTAGTAATTAGTACTCGATTACTCTGCAATATCACTAAGGTACTTTCTTGAGACAGAATCCTCTATAGCAACTAAAAAATTACACCAAGCATTTAAGCTAACATAAACATGATAAGAGCACCAGGAAGCTGCCTCACGGACCTCATATGACTCTCTCCTGCATACTGCTTTATTAACTTCAACGCCCCATTGCGAGCGATTCATCCACTAGCAGCTAATTATAGAGACACGCTGTGTGCAATGTTAGCTGCCCCGCCAATTGGCCAGCGACCTTTCTGATATTCATCACCCGATACCCACCCCAGTGTATCGCCCGGGGCGTTTTTGGTCGCGGAACAAGGCATTGCTAGAGGAGATTTGGAAGCTCAGTCGCATAAAACGCAATTATATTGACGGGGCCACGAATTGCCCAGTGCTAGACCAAACCAGGACTTGCTTGGCTGTCACACTGCATGCAGCAGTAGAGATGATGATGTTTCGGATTAGAGTAACTCGTATATGTATAGGTAACATATTCCACAAGCAAGCTGATCACACAAGGGACCTGATCATCTTAACACTCACTAAAATCTCCGAAACTCTAACCTTAGTGTCTCAACAAGAGCTTAATAATATATTCTAGAAGTGCATGTTTAAACCACCCTACGTATTTCAAGACCCTGATCGAGCTCCTAGAATAACAACTTGAACTGCTTCAAAGATATTATATTTTAGCACATAAAATTCAGCTAAGATATTATATCTTAAGGATTCCTCAGTAGATTCCTTTTAAATTTACGTAGAGCTTATCAATTTAATAGTAAAGCTCAATTGTAGAATTTCAGAATCTACTAGGAACTAAGCCATTGTTGAGATATTAAGGTTTGACTTTCGGAGTGTTTAGTGAGTTTTTGACTGATCAGCGCTTACGTAATCGGCTTACTTGTGGGAACACGTTATGTCATCCCATTGCATGGGGGCCATGAGAGGACGATCTGTCTGGGTGGGAGTTACTTATAGGAGTAGCTGTGCCATCTCACTGCATACGACGAAGAGGAGACAATAATATTAGTTACAAAGTACCACATTTGTACAGAAGTCTCATGTTCGATGAACCACTGTTTTTCCTTCATCATGCTTGATCGGGATCAGGACGCAGATATCGAAGATGGACTACGGTTAGAAGATGTCAGTCGGCGGTCAGCGTGCGATCGATGCAGAACGATGAAGACGCGCTGCGAGCGATCTCACCACCGGGGCATTGCACAACTGCAACAATGCCGACGATGCAGAGAGGCACAGGTACGATGTATCACAACTCTTGAGGCACAGCAGAGTCGAAATGAAGATATGGACAAGCCGATCCAAAGGAATCGGAAACGGCCTCGAGGACCATCCATCGAAGCAAACCAAAAATATTCAGTGACTAAGACTCTCGAGAGCCTGGACGAGCGGCATCATGCCACACCACTAGAGCATCGCCCTGAGCGTATCACTTCTGAGAAGCCATCGTCATCTCCAATAGCAGGTTCGCAGGGTGGACTATTGTCATCCCTTGAGATCGACCGTCAATGGCACGAACTAAGCAAAATGGTAGATTTAGGGGGAAGTACAATACACAATCTCGCCGATGATCAGACAAGAGCGACAGCCATGCCGCCAACGATCAATGTCACCATCCCCTATGCGAATCAAAACGCGGACAGTGGAACTTTCATCGAGGCCATGACCACCATGTCCTCCGGAACTGTACAAAGTATGCCCGAGGCGACGTCGTTTGACCATATGCCGCAGGAGACCCGCAGTCTGTTCTGGAATAGCTTGCTCCCGCTCTCGTCGTCGGACCAATCAGACGCACCAACGCCCCAAGTGGAAGCAAATTGCACAATCATGAGCAGGCTGATGGAATTCAATACGAAAGTCTCGCATAATCTCCGGGAATTCAGGGAGGGAAACCGCCCCTGGAGCGACGACAACAGTATGCTGGTGAAGACTCTGCAGCATTCGGACGCATTTCTCGAACTTCTAGCGAGTTTTACATGCCCTGGGGTGGTGCTAGATGGCAGTTCGCTGTACATAGGAAGTGCTGGATCCCGCCATGAAGGCAGCACATTGGGTCGCAGCGACAAGGTCGACACAGACGTAGCATTGCAGTTGCTTTCATGCCACATGAATGTGAGCAGCATGTACGAAATACTGTGTGTAGAGCTCACTAGGCCGCATCTACGGCTCGAGGAGGCAGAGGCGCTATCCGCGTTACGTCTGGAGGGCCTGCGGAACCTAGACGTAGATATGCGTGGTCAGGTGCTGTTGCATATCTGTTCGCTCACATTTGTCAAGATTCAGAAGGAGCTCGAGTTGATTCGACAGCGGGGAATGCTGACGCAGACAGCAGACACGATATTCGGAGTTGTACTTGGAGGAGGAAATGTTAACGTTTTGAGCCCTCCATTTGGCATGGGACAGATTGTAGATAGTTTTCGTCGCCTGGTTATGGCAAGAGGATCATCCTAGACTTCGAGCTTCCTCGCACATCACCCTCTCGTTCCAATCTCTCAACAGGAGTAGCTAGACTCTCTTGCTTTGGTGTATAATTTTATACTCGGTCTCAGCTAGAAACTAGCGGAGTTCAAGAGGCAAAACTCACCATAACTATATTAGTAGCTAATACAATGCATCAAGACCAAGAATTCCACATTTGATCTAAGACTTCGCCCGCAAAATGAAATGGCGCAAAAAATATAGAACTTGGTAGAGCGACTGCTCACTACACAATAACATGCTGTTCTCATTCTCAATGCAACATATAATGCCATGACCGCTGGCTAAGGGAGACCTGTAGCTTGGCTGCCCGCACTGGACGAGGTTTTAATCCGACCGGGCCGGAAGTCCCCATCATGTCCTAAGAGCATGGCGCTGTCCCCGGTGATCCCCATCTATATGCGACCTATGTCACCTGCCAGTTGCGAGATTTGTGACTTGCAACGAAATATATGAGCTGTGACCTTCGATGTGACATAATTAAGCGAACCATGAATAATAACAAAACCATGAATACTTCGTTAAGGATTCCATAGCGTTTGCGAATAGTACCGATAAATTGGACCCTGACGGTCCACTTCAACCGTCCAAATGCTTTAAGATACATGACACAGAAGTTCGATCTCATAGAGCTTGGCTCAACCAAACATCCCTACGACCGTCCAGAGCTCCGAAGCTAGGAAGCCATTCAATCGTTGCGGAAGATATCTAGTTCTTGAGCAACGATCCACTTCCTCATAGTAAATCCAGGCACTTCCATAGGAAGTTCATCCCACTCAAAAGGCACGTCAGGCCAGAGAAGATGATCAAACTGCCATATCCACTTCCGTAGCCCCCCATAGCTTGTCCCTGCCACGGCATTCCCTTAATAAGCGCGTCACTCAGGGGACCGGATATTACGTTCCCGACTCCTCTCCCTATGCACAGATGGCCGTACACCATCAGCGGGTCAACGTAACCGTAACCGTCACTCTCACCTCTCTGAGCGACTTCTTTCATGATTCCCGGCCATATCGACGGCCAGCACCCAGCGAACAGCCCGTAAAAGATACAGAACACGTACAAGACAGGCAGGGATGCTGAGAGTCCCCAAATCAGTAAAACCGATGTAGCCGCACCCATTGCTGAGGTGATTATACACGTCGTGACGTGGACCTTGTCGGTTAGTGAGCCCATGATCGCAAGGCCGATCGTCGCGGCTATATTGACTAGTATGACTGTCAATGCTGACAAGAAAGTCGAAGCGCCGTAGGCCTTGCGGGCGTAGGTTGGCAGGTAGATACCTGGGAGGAAAAAGCCAGTCGCCTGGATAATATTGGCGACTTGATGTAGGGCAAACAATTTGGATGTGACGAATCTCAGGTTGAACGGTTTTGCGCGAGTATTAGATGAGTAGGGCAGTCTGGGCTTGATAAAGAAGGCCAAAGGGGCCGAGGTTGCAAAGAGGACACCAGCCCAGATCCTCGTGGCTGTCTGGAACCCAAGATCATTGAGGAGACTCTCGAGGAGCAGAGGAAGGACGACACCTCCAAACCCTGCGGCGCTCCACATGATACCATAAGCCATACCTTTGCGTTTGGCAAACCACTCTTCGATATACAATACGCAAGGGCAATAAGCGAAGCAGCCGCCAATGCTGAAAAGAATTCCCTGTGTTCCGATGAGTTGAGGCACGGTGTCGCAGAAGGAACTCAATGCCATGGACAGGGAAGCAACGAAGAGCCCCATAAACGTGAACCATCGTGCCCAACGAGGGTAGAGCCGGCATAGCGCAAGAACAAAAGGTGTTCCCATATACAGGACTCCCTAGTGTCTTAGTTAGTCCCTGTTGCAATGAGACGCGCTGCTGTGCTTTCCTCACCATTGTGGTGGTTCCGATGACGGCGATATGGCTTGAGCCCGCAAATGGCTCATGATTGCTGTAGAAGTCCTGGAAGACGCCGAACGAAAAGCCGAACCCTGGTTACTCCAACGTGAGCCTAGATGAATGATGCAAACGCGCTGATATTGACTCACCATATACCAAAGCCTCAATAGCCCAGCAAGCGCCCAGGAACAGCCATGCCTCCTTTCCCGTGTCGACAGGTGGTAAGGAGAATTCAGTTCTTAGAACTTGAGGCTCGAAGCTGTCGTTTTGTGCATTTTGTTGCACGGAGACGTCATTCAATATGCGCGCATTGAAGTTGTCGAGTTCAACTGGCCCTTGAGCCATTGTAAGATGTGGAAGTTGAGATGATGGCCTTCACACAGCGGAATCGATGGCAGGGAGATGCACAGTCGAAGAACCCGATGGTAATATTTTAAGCACTAAGACCGTTGAAAAATCGCCGGTAGTTCCGGCGCTTATGCTAAGGAAGCGCACGTACTTTGGTCAGCTTAAAGATCCTCAAGTTATAGGACAGAAAACCAACATTAAACTTCTTGGAAGATCAGCAGATCAGAGACAAAATAATGGGTCTCAGCTGGGGTACTTAAGGAATGGACCGGAGTTCCGGCATACCCCGATCCCTCGCCGGAGCCCCGGAGAGGCTCACGGTGCAGTCTTTTAGTCGCGCCTGTACATTTCCGCTCAGTGCTACGGGCCGGTGATACCTAGGGTCACACCCTGCTGTAAGCTGGTGCTATGTCAGGCTTAAAGGGTCGAACTGTTGTGGTGGACAAAGAGAGTAGGTGGTAGGGGCTATAGATAAGTAATTTCGAAGAGTTGTTGTAAAGTAAGTGTTAGCGAAAAATAATTAATAAACTATAAATTATTTTAAACGCAATTTACATAGGCTATATATTTTCAGCTGCTCTATTGCTACTAACTAAAATAAAACTACTTTGTTGTATAGTACTAAAACAGATTATGTATCTAGGTTATAATAGACTTTATAGTTAAAGTTGTATTTTACAAGCAAGTAGTTTATATAAGAGAACAGTCTACTCTAATAAAATTTTAGCACCTTACACTATAATTAATAATAAATCTACTAATTAACCTTTAATACACTAATAGAAAAGATTAAATACTTTTAGCTTTTAAGTAATTTAAAAAGCTAAATTTTAAGCATTTAAATTACTATAGTAATGTATAAAGTTTTTAAAACTACACTTGTCTAAAAACTTAATAGTAGACTTCTATAATGTAATTATAAAGGTAACTTATAAATATTAACTAATTTAGAAAAATTAGTTATTATAAAGTATAACATACACTATAGGCGAGTTGCTTACACACCTAAGTTACTTACTTTTACTAAGACCCTACTAAACTACTCTTTCTATACTAATACATTTCTAATAACACTACTTAAGTCTGCTAAAATAATGTTTAATACAGCTTATACTTTAAGCTTTTAAATAAGACATAATACTTTTTAAAGGAATATGCTATATCTATGTATAAGGTTTCTTAAAGAATAATAAATAACACACTAAATAACTTTTATAAGCTAATTCTATAGCTAACTTATAAAGACTAGATAATAATAAAAATTAAATAATTATTAAGTATATATTTAAGCTATATATATATAAAGATTTTCCTGTTAGCTAGCAGATATAGCTAATATAGCTAATCTTTTACACACTAAGTATAATCTAGGCTATGTTAGTATAAACTAGTTTAGTATATTTATAAAGTGTTATCTAAAGCTTAAAGTAAAGTTTAGGTATAAGTATAACTATAAAAAAGCTTTTTATAAAATTTTTAAGCTAATTTAAAGCTAGTTTAGCTTTATAAAGAATATTAAAGCTAAGTATAGCATTTAAAATAATAATATGTATAACTTTAATAAAATAAGCTTTATAATAAGCTAGATATTTACTAACTATACTTATGCTTAAAACTTTACTTTAAGCTTTAGATAACATTTTATACATATACTAAGCTAGTTTATGCTAATATAGCCTAAATTATGCTTAGTGTGTAAAAAATTAGCTATATTAGCTATAGCTACTAGCTAAGAGGAAAATCCTTCTATATATAGCATAAGTATATACTTAATAATTATTTACTTTTTATTAATACCTAGCGCTTATAAGTTAGCTGTAAAATTAGCTTATAAAAGTTATTTAGTGTGTTAGTTAATTATTATCTTTTAAAAGACCTTATACATAGCTATAGCATGTTACTTTAAAAGTGTTATGTTTTATTTAAAAGCTTAAAGTATAAACTATATTTAACATTCTTTTAGCATATTTAAGTAGTGTTGTTAGAAATAGACTAGTGTAAAAAAAAGTAGTTTAGTAAAGTCTTAGCAAAAGTAAGTAGCTTAGGTGTATAAGCAACTTGCCTGTAATGTACGTTATAAGATTTGTAAGAATAATATTTCTAACTTTAATAAAATAAAGTTTTACAAAAGTGCTAACAGATTACACTACTAAGCTAGCAAAACTACTAAGCTAGCTAATGTAAGGCTGAGATAGCGCTTACGTGCAACAGGTATACATACTATTCTGTACGCAACAATTAACTGTTAGTTAATTATTCGCATCTATTTAGTTGTATTAGCGCAGTGGTAAAAAGCTCTGTTCTTACAGCTAACATAAAACATATACAAAATTCTTCTTAATAAGCAGCTCTATCTTTAGAACTACTTAATAGAATTAGCTAAAAATCTTACTATAGAGCTACACGTCTATTTATATTATTATTCTAGAATAGTTAATCTCTAGCTTATATAAGCAGCTGGCTATTAAGAAAAAGGTTTTTTTAGCTTCTACCTTTTTATATCTCTATAGTTGTGTTACGACCCACGATTAGGCTATAAGCTACTAACTACAAGTTGTAACAATTCTCATGAATCGTTCCATCTCGGGTCGCCCGGAACCTATCCGAAGGTCCCTGTATCGGCTCCGACCCTGGCTCGACCCTGACTCGACCTGGCCCCGACTCTGCCCTGCCCTCTGCTGTACCCCTATTCCTCTATGTATTTAGTTGCACCTTGCCCCTGTAGCTAGCTTAGTAGTTTTCTAATATCCTTTTATACAAGGCCTATAGGTGTTAGTAGCATTCCTAGGTTCTAAGTCCCTACACACTTTTATATGCCTCTAAGTAGATTTCTACTACATTTAGACTTATTATCTTGCCTGTGCTATTACATTATAGTAGAAAACTTACTTTTACTAGTAATAGCCTTATTAATAATATTACACTAATTATTTATTTAACTGTGTCTAAGCTCTAAAACATGTTTAATTTAGTTTAGGTTATAATACTTACACACTGTTATATTAAACTATTTAGTCTATAGATAGAATTTTAAAGACTTTTTATTAACTAAAGCTTTTAGGTTTAGAACTTTTTATCCCTTATAATTAAAATTACTTTTAAAAAAGTTATAAAAAGTGCGCTAAGGTAGAAACCTAAAGACTACTAATAACTTATTAAAATTAAAAGTAACTACTAATGTCTAACTAACTACTCTTTAATTCTAGAATTAAAATACACTTTAGCTAAAGTAGGCTCTTTAAAGTTAATTAATAATTTATGTTAACAGCTAAACCTACTTCTATAGCACCTAAAGCTATACTTTTACTTAATTTAGAGTTAACTTCTAGCAGTATATTTATTAATAATTAAATTATTTAATTATAAGTATAGCTTAAGTAGCTAATTTAGCTAAAAATAGCTAGTTAACTTTTACTAACTACTAAATTACTTTTAATAACACTTTACACTACTCTTACTACTCTAAGTGTAAGAGACCTTTTAGGCACTTTTTAGACCTAGTAAATCTACTTTACTAAATATACACTTAAGATTAAGATCTTTATAAATAGTAAAAAACTTATGTTTAAATAATAGTAAGCTTTTATTATAGATAAGCTTAATATTAATTTAAATTACTATTAAAGCAAGTGTGCACACATAGCATTAATATAAAAACACATAGCTAGTATTGCAAAGAATTATTTAGAGCTAGGATACCTAGCTAAAGTAGACTAGTTTTAGTTTAAAAGTGTAGATAATATAATAAAGCTCTTATAAGCTTATTTTATTACTAGTTAGAAAAAAACTAAGGCATAATAAGCATTCTAGACTTTTAGAATAAATAAAAAGAAAGCATTTCTTATATTTAAAGCGCGCTTTATTAGTACAGCTATTAAAAAAAAGTATTTTAGTTAGATTAGTTTTTTTACTTATAAAAAAAGCTTTTTTTTAGCTTATAAGTACTAAAGTATAGTTTTAAATATACCTAGGTAAACTTCTTTAAAGCTATAGTAGCCTACCTTATAGCGTATAATCTAAAAAAGAGAACTTATAAAAAAAACTTTATTATTTTATCTAAATTATTTTTAACTAATAAATTACACTTACTACTTTAATAATTAATAACTACATATGTAGCATTTAGTTTAGAGAACACTACTAGTAGTGTAAAGAAATACTTAGTAAGAACACCTAGCTAAATTAGACTAGTTTTAGTTTAAAAAGGCAAAGAATATAATAGCAATACTTTATACTATAATTACTACTAATAAGGACTATTAGTTTATAAAGAGAGGAGAAGTGTAATAATTCTTATAAATTATTCTATCTTAGGTTGCCTAGAACCTATATAAAGGGTCCCTATATTAACTCTAACCCTAGCTTAACCCTAACTTAACCTAGCCCTAACTCTACCCTGCCCTCTGCTGTACCCTTATTCCTTTATGTATTTAGTTGCACCTTGCTCTTATAGCTAGCTTAGTAGTTTTCTAATATCCTTTTGTACAAGGCCTATAGGTGTTAATAGCATTCCTAGGTTCTGAGTCCCCACGCACTCCCATATGCCTCTGAGTGGAATCCCACCGCATTCGGACCCATTGTCTTGCCTGTGCCGTTACACAAGTGCCCCACTGTTTAGACAGACAAGGCTAGAACCCCCTAGTCACCCCACCTCTAAGGTCACGTGACCTAACAGACAAAGAATAGACAAACTTGTTAGGCTAATGCACAGCAGAGTGTAGTATCTAATAAGAGAAGGACGTTTGAGCGCTGTAAGCGCTAATAAGCGCTTCTATGTTAGACGCTTATAACAGGCAACAACAATTAGTCTCTAGAACTCTATATATATAGTTTAGATCTTAACTATTATAGAAAAGTTATAATTAAAGTTTAGTTTATTCTAGTCCTTTACTACATAGACTAAGTAGCATTGCTACTTTATAATAAAAGTAATACTAATTAATGTACTTCACAGGCAAGTTGCTTACACACCTAAGTTGCTTACTTTTACTAAGACTTTACTATACTACACTTTCTACACTAATATATTTCTAATAACACTACTTAGACATGTTAAAAGAATATTAGATACAGCTTATGCTTTAAGCTTTTAAATAAGATGTAATACTTTTTAAGCAACACACTACAGCTATCTATAAAGTTTTTTAAAAGATAATAAGTAACTAACACGCTAGACAACCTTTTTAAGCTAATTATATAGC